GGTTGTTTTTTCTTTGACACAGGGTCTTGCTCTATTGCCCAGGCTGGAGTGTGATGGTGTGATCACACAATTTGAGGCTGACTGCGGCCTTGAACTCTCGGACTCAAGTGATCTTCCTGCCTCGGCCTCCAGAGTAGCTGGGACTGCAGGCTCACGCCCCCATACCTGGCCACTTAGGCCCATTTTAATGCCTTAGGGCCTCACTGTTTCCCAGCTATAAAACTGGGTTTGTACGGTTCCTGTGTCAGAGGCTGTCGTGAGGATTAAGAGCATGGAAAGCACCTGGCATGATACACAGCGATTTCTGCATAAGGTCTGCTTTTTTCATGATTGTTTTTAAGCCCTCTGTTGCAGATGCTTTTGGTTGTCTAACCCAAGATCCTTCTTCCAGGCCGGGCACAATGGCCTGGAATCCCAGCACTTTGGGAGGTCAAGGCAGGTGGATCACCTGGGGTCATGAGTTCGAGACCAGCCTGACCAACATGGTGAAACCCTGTCTCTACTAAAAATGCAAAACTAGCCAGGCGTGGTAGTGCATCTCTGTAATCCCAGCTACTTGGGAGGGTGAGGCAGGAGAATCAGTTGAACTTTGGAGGCAGAGGGTGTAGCAAGCCACTGCACTCTGGCCTGAGTGACAGAGTGAGACTCAAAAAAAATAAATACAAATAAAATAAAGATCCTGGCTGGGAGGCCAAGGCAGGCGGATCACCTGACGTCGGGAGTTCGAGACCAGCCTGGCCAACATGGAGAAATCTGTCTCTACTAAAATTACAAAATTAACCAGGTGTGGTGGGGCACACCTGCAATCCAAGCTACTTGGGAGGGTGAGGCAGGAGAATTGCTTGAATTCAGGAGATGGAGGTTGCAGTGAGCTGAGACTGTGCTGTTGTACTCTAGCCTGGGCAAAAAGAGCAAAACTCCATCTCAAAAAAAAAAAAAAGATCCCTTCTTTCTCCTTCCCCACAGAACTCTGACTCAGTTCTCCCTTCCCTGGCAGCTGCAGTTCAGGGCACATGGGCCCCACCTGAGGCTGGTCTCCAATCAGGCTGTGCTGGCTGCCTGAACAACTGCAGCGGGGTGGGGCTCTGGGCCCAGGGGACACGAGGGGACTCTGTTGGATGCTTCAGGAAAGGTGTCCTTGCTCCTGGAGAAGGAACTCAAGGCAGAGAAGTCCCTATCTCCTCCCCGCACTGGCACAGTCATGTGAGGAGACGCTGGACTGCAGCAGCCATCTGGAAACCCTGATGGGGAAACTGAGGAAAGATCAGTGCAATGACATTGCCGGTGCAGAGAAAAGAAAAGCGCCTGGGCTGGGGATGCTGGAAGAGCCACTAATCAACCCTAGGGTTGCCAGGGTCCTGCACGGTGTGCTATGCGGGGAAATGCATGTCCACGTTGTTCATGCTATTTTTATTTATTTATTCATTTATTTATAGATGGAGTCTGACTCTGTTGCCCAGGGTGGAGTGCAATGGCATGATCTCGGCTCACTGCAACCTCCATCTCCTGGGTTCAAGCCATTCTCCTGTCTCAGTCTCCCACAGGTAGCTGGGATTACACGTGCCCGCCACCACACCAGCTCATTTTTGTATTTTTAGTAGATAGAGGTGGGGTTTCACCATGTTGCCCAGACTGGTCTCCAACACCTGATTACAGGTGATCCTCCAACCTAGTCTCCCGAGTAGTTGGGATTACAGGCGTGAGCCACTGCGCCAGCCTGTTCAAGCTCTTTAAATTCAGTTTCCTGTTACCTGTGTCAAGAGACACCCTCGTAGCCACTCCCCACCTACTCGGGCCCCACGCTCACCAGCAGGGCCTGCACTGCCTTCGTCACAGCTGCCTTCTCTTCCTCCAGGCTCCGGATCTGCTCCCGCAGCCGCCTCAGCTCCTGCCATGTCGAGATCTGGGTGGATATACGAGGGAAGGAGGTGAGTAGTCACTGATCCTGCCCGTCTCTCTGGAGCCCCCCTGGACACCTGGACCTGCGGCAGGATGAGGCAGAGATCTCTACCTAGCCCTCAGAGGCCATCTTCTCCTCCTCCCCTTCAGTACTGGAACACCCTGAGGCTCAGCTGGCCACACAGCTGCCCAGAATTAAGACACACTGGCTGAGTGTAGTGGCTCACACCTGTACTCCTAGCACTTTGGGAGGCTGAGGTGGGTGGATCACTTAAGGTCAGGAGTTGGAGACCAGCCTGGCCAACATGGTGAAACCCCATTTCTACTAAAAACACAAAAATTAGGTGGGTGTGGTGGCACGTGCCTGTAATCCCAGCTACACGGGAGGCTGAGGCGGGAGAATCGCTCAAACCTGGGAGGCAAATCAAGGGCGCCGTGAGCCGAGATCTCACCACTGCACTCCAGCCTGGGGGATAAGAGCAAAACTGCATCTCAAATATAAAAAATATGTATCTTTTACTAAACTGTAAACTCAGGTCATGAGAGGGCACAGTGGGGTAGTTAAGATTGTGGAGTCTGGGTGTGGTGGCTCACGCCTGTAATCTCAGAATTTTGGGAGGCTAAGGCAGGAGGATCACTTGAGCACAGGAGTTCAAGACCAGCCTGGGCAACATAGCATGTTCCTGTCTCTACAGAAACTACAAAAGTTTAGCTGGGTGTGGTGGTATCTGCCTGTAGTCTCAGCTACATGGGAGGCTGAGGTGGGAGGATTGCTTGAGCCCAGGAGTTAAAAGTTGCAGTGAGCTATAACTGTACCACTGTACTCCATCCTGGGTGATAGAACAAGACCGTCTCTTAAAAAAAAAAAAAAAAAGTAGATCTGGAGCCAGGAAGCACAGGTAAAAATTGCCACTCTGGCCGGGCGCGGTGGCTCAAGCCTGTAATCCCAGCGCTTTGGGAGGCCGAGGCAGGCGGATCACGAAGTCAAGAGATCGAGACCATCCTGGCCAACATGGTGAAACCCCATCTCTACTAAAAATACGAAAATTAGCTGGGCATGGTGGCACGTGCCTGTAGTCCCAGCTACTCAGGAGGCTGAGGCAGGCGAACTGCCTGAACCCGGGAGGTGGAGGTTACAGTGAGCCGAGATTGTGCGACTGCACTCCAGCCTGGGGCCTGGTGACAGAGGGATACTCTGTCAAAAAAAAAAAAAAAAAATTCCCGCTCTGCCACTTCCCAGTTGCATGACCTAGCGCAAGTGAATTAGCTTCTTGGGGCCTTACTATTCCCTCTGATAAAATAGGGGAAATAATGGCAACTACTTCAGAGTTATCATGAAAATTAAATGAGGTTAAAGTGTATAAAGCACTTCAAACAGAAGGGAGTCCAAGAGAGGGCTGGGAAAACGTGGGACCCCCACCGTCCCTAACACCTCACCATAGAGATATGGTGAACCCGGTTCTAATCCCTCCCACCCCCCCGCCCTCCTTTTTTTTTTAGACGGAGTCTTGCTCTGTTGCCAGGCTGGAGTGCAGTGGTGCAATCTCAGCTCACTGCAACCTCCTACTCCCTGGTTCAAGTGATCCTCCTGCCTCAGCCTCCTGACTAGCTGGGATTATAGGCACTCGCCAGTACACCCAGCTATTTTTTTGGTATTTTTAGTAGAGGCAAGGTTTCATCATATTGGGCAGGATGGTCTTGATCTCTTGACCTCGTGATTCGCCCGCCTCAGCCTCCCGAAGTGCTGGGATTACAGGTGTGAGCCACTGCGCCCGGCCTCTAATTCCCTTTCGTAAGTGCTAGCAATTGTATTATTATTCACCGCACATTTGCAACATCTGGAACACTGGAACATGTAGTTGCACCTTAAATATCAATTTAATAGAACCATTCATTTTAATGCATTCATTCATTCATTAAATAACCCTATTTAACTGCCTGATACGTGGGGGGGAGGTGCAGAACTCTCCCTAAATCTCTCTCCAAAGGCAAGCGCTCCAGCACATCCCAGCCCCGACCCCGTCCGATTCACACTTGGCTCCCCGTTTTCGTGTGTGTGTGTGTGTGTGTGTGTGTGTGTTTTGAGATGGAGTCTCTCACTGTTGCCGGGGCTGGAGTGCAATGGCGTGATCTCGGCTCACTGCAACCTCTGCCACCCCCGGGTTCAAGCGATTCTCCTGCTTCAGCCTCCCGAGTAGCCGGGATTACAGGTGCCTGCCACTACGCCCAGCTAATTTGTTGTATTTTTAGTAGAGACGGGGCTTCACTATGTTGGCCAGGCTGGTCTCAAACTCCTGACTTCGTGATCCACCCGCCTCGGCTTCCCAAAGTGCTGGGATTACAGGCGTGAGACACCGCGCCAGGCCTTCCTTCATGGTCTTAGGGTAAGGTTGGCATGAGATTGGAGAACGGAGGACAATGTCACATAGCAAGTTCCTAGAGGACAGTAGGTACCCAGCGAGCAGTATGAAACAGGCACATAATGGGTGTCGGGGACACAGTAGGCATTTTTGGCACATAGTAAGGCCTCAGCACTCATTGGACAACTGGCACATACGGGTGCCATACATAAGACGTTGGCTCAACTTGGGAAGGAACTAAAATTCCTGCAATAAGTTCGTCCCCTGCTGGAGCGCATCTTGCAAACCCAATTCTTCCATAAAGCAAACCACCCTTTCCCGCCGGCCAGCGCAGGCGCACTCACGATCGCGGGCAGGTCCGCTGAGCGCAGCACCCCCTTGCGGAGCTCCAGGGCGCGTGCGGCCTCTTCTGGGCATGCGCAGAGCAACTCTATGTCCAGCTTAGGGAGTTCGCTGTAGCCCTCGCGCGCATGCTCGTACAAGAGGTTCCGGCTTCGTTTCTCTGTAGCGAAACTCCTCCTTGGACTGTGGTTGGAGACGCAGCCTTCCCGGGGCCGGAGCCCCCGACGAGTCAACAAAGGCCACAAGCGCCGCGCCATGGACGCAGCCATCTTGGACCAGGGACAGCGGGGCACTTCGTCCCGCCTACTCCGCGTTTAGACCAATTGTAAAGCAGCATTCCTGTTCTGGACGAGCCAATCATATCCTGAGGAAAGTTGACCGAGATAGAGTCGGTCGTGGCCCAATCGTCGTCTATGTCCCGCCTCTTCGGTGACGCAAAGGCGGAACCAGCCAATCCCTGCACCAATAGCGCCCGGAAGAGGCTAGAGGCAGGTTTCAACGTGTCCGCGACCTCACCGCTGGAGTACTTGAGGTTGTTGGGATCCTGGGGTCCTCCAAATCTACCAGGCTCTCTCCCCAGTTTCCCACTTCCTCTTATGTGCGGGCGAGAGTGGCTGGGTCCTCGGAGACCACTCAGAGCGAGGCTAAATTTACGGAGGGACTGTTAGCAGGATGAGGGGTTGTGGTTAGCTCTAAAGAGGGACTTCCTTTGATTTAACCGAGAAGGTCCTGAGAGCGGATCGGGGACCATTTGGGGAGCGGCCAGTTTTCCCTCCTTTCTGAGTGTCTTATCCCCTACCACAGGGACGGCCCAGGCGGCAGGATGTCCTGGTCTGGCCTTCTCCGTGGCCTCAACACGTCCCTAACTTGTGGTAAGTAGGGGACTCGGGCTTAAGGGACGAGGCTAGAGAATGAGGGTTATTTGCTCTGGGTTATTGTGTGCCTCCGCCGGAGCCCCGAGGGAACCCGGGGATGGAAAAACACGGTGGGGTTTGGCGGAACAAGGGCTTCTAGAGCAAGAGGTTGGAAGCAGCTGCATGGAGGGCTACTGCGTGTCAATTTTATTATTTAAGCTCTCCCTGTGTCGCCCAGGCTGGAGTGCAGCGGTGTGATCACAGCTCACTGCAATCTCGACCTCCTGGCCTCAAGTGATCCTCCTGTTTCAGCCTCCCAAGTAGCTGGGACGACAGGCCTGCAGAACCACAACCAGCTAGTTTTTTGATTTTTTTTTTTTTTTTTTTTTTTTGTAGAGACAGAGGTCTCCCTATGTTGTCCAGTCTGTTCGTAACTCCTGAGCTCAAGTGATCCCTCCACAGCCTCTGAAAGCGCTAGGATTACATGTGTGACCCACTGAGCCTATTATTGTAAACAGCATTAAAAGTAATGTTTCCTGGTCGGGCACGGTGGCTCACACCTGTAATCCTAGCACTTTGGGAGGCTGAGGTGGGTGGATCACCTGAGGTCAGGAGTTTGAGACCAGCCTGACTAACACGGTGAAACCCCCTCTCTACTAAAATTACAAACATTAGCCGAGTGTGGTGGTGGGCACCTGTAGTCCCAGCTACTCTGGAGGCAGAGATAGGAGAATTGCTTGAACCCAGGAGGCAGAGGTTGCAGTGAGCCGAGATCACGCCATTTCACTCCAGCCTAGGTTCCTTGAAGAATAAAATGAGTTAATTCACGTAAAATGCCTAAAAGAGAAGCTGATGCGTGGTGGTTGCTCAATAAATGTTAGCTAGTAATACTTTGATCTGTAAATACTGCTAGACATGAATAAATGCATCCTCGTAAAGTGCATGAACAATGCCTAGAACACCAAAATTGAGTTGCCCCTACACTAATATCTGTTCTCTGGGATGATAACGCCTTTCGGCCCTCTCCAGGCCTAGCTCTGGTTCCCCGGCTCTGGGCCACCTGCTCCATGGCTACTCTGAACCAGATGCACCGCCAGGGGCCTCCCAAGCGGCCGCCTCGGAAGTTGGGCCCCACAGAAGGCCGGCCGCAGCTGAAGGGCGTGGTCCTGCGCACGTTCACCCGCAAGCCCAAGAAGCCCAACTCTGCCAATCGCAAGTGCTGCCGTGTGCGGCTCAGCACGGGCCGCGAGGCCGTCTGCTTCATCCCCGGGGAGGGCCACACCCTGCAAGAGCACCACATTGTCCTTGTGCAGGGCGGCCGCACCCAGGACCTGCCAGGCGTCAAGCTCACCGTTGTGCGTGGCAAGTATGACTGTGGCCACGTGCAGAAGAAGAAGTGACCGCTGGGGGCCCAGTGGGCTGGGCACCCCTGCAGAACATGAACCTTCCACTCCGGGCTGCAGCAGGGTCCCTGGATGCTAGCTCTTGCGCCTCTGGAGGCAGCCAATCTTGGATTCGAAGCCTGGCTCTGCCTCTTCCATCAGGACCACTATTGAACCATAGGAGTCCTGGGGGTGCAAAGGGTGCCCCTGTGTGCACATCCTTGGCTCCTGTGTTTAGAGGAGTGGCCTGAGGGGCCTTTTCTGCTGGAACAAGACACTGTACTGCCCTCTGCTGGGAAGGGGTTTTAATAAACAGATCCTGGCGCTCCTGAAGTGAATCCCTTGTGGAATATCTGCCTTCTGTGTGGCTGTGTCAAGGGACATGTCTGACATTCAGTTTCCTCCTCCAGAAAATAGTTCCATTGGTGGTATCTCCTCTGTTTGGTTTGGTAAAAATTAAATTCGATGCTCTAGTGTGTAACACACAGAGTGCTACTCTTTTTTTTTTTTTTCGACAAAGTCTCGCTCTTTCTCTAAAAAAAAAAAAGCTCCAGCCTTGACCTCCTGGGCTCAATCGATCCTCCTGCCTCAGCCTCCTGAGTATCTGGGACCACAGGTGTGTGCCACCACACCTGGCTTATTTTTCCATTTCTTTAGAGTGGGAATCGGGCTTTGTCGTTCAGGCTGGTCTTGAACTCTTGGCCTCCATAGATCCTTTCACCTTGGCCTCCCAAAATGCTGGATTATACAGGTGAGCCACCATGGCCAGCCAGTGGAATTGTTTTTATATTATTACCAGTCTGACACACCTGGGCTCGAATCCTGGCTCCCTGTCGTAATTGCTATGAGACCTGGCTATGTTAGTCCCCCTGTGGGCCTCAGCTTCCTCCCTTGGAAAATGGCACTGATGGTAATACTGACTGCACATGATCACCTGCTTGGCCATATAAGATTTAAGATGTGGGGGCGGGATACGGTGGCTCGCCTGTAATCCCAGCACTTTGGAAGGCTGAGGTGGGCCAATCACCTGAGGTCAGGAGTTTGAGACCAGCCTGGCCAACATGGCAAAACCCCATCTCTACTAAAAATACAATAATTACCCAGGTGCGGTGACATGTGCCTGTAATCCCAGCTACTGAGCTAGGAGAATCGCTTGAACCTGGGAGGTGGAGGTTGCAGTGAGCTGAGATCTGCATCAATGCACTACAGCCTGGGCAACAGAATGAGACTCTATCTCAAAAAAGAAAAAAAGATGTGGAAACTGTTTTTGTACCATTGGGCTCTCGAGCCCAGCGCTGATCCAAGCCCCGCCTCCCCTACCTACTGGTTGGGTAACCTTGGGAGGACCATTTACACTCTTGAGCCTGGACCAGATGGTGCCGACTAGGGTGTATGCCTGAGAGCTGCTCGGTGCGTCATAGCTGTCTCCGAGTTCTGCGCGGTGCCCGGCGCACAGCCTCCCGAGGGTCTCCTGATTGTAAACATGAGGTTACAAGGTCTTAGGATCAGAGCTGGTGGCGGACAAGAGCATTGATTACAGATCAAAATCACCCATCCCCTTGTATTTAGCACCAGTTTTATTGAGCTAGTTTGTTGGCCATGCCTAGCTGGGAAATAGAGACGTAAAGGGAGATGGGGGGACGGGAGAGCTTTTCCTCATGGCACGCCTTGCTCCAGGAGTCTATACAGGAGTGTGGAGAAAAGGAAGTGTTATCTGGCAGGAAGCTGCCCCTCAAAGCAGGAGGTGGGGGTGGGTGACTTGGCCTCTGACGGAATTCTGATGAGAGAGGCGCCAGCCTGGCCCAAACAGGAGATGCTGATGGGCAGTGCTGACCACGTTGCACAGAGATGGTCAGTCACACAGTGCCATGGTGGGATCCCAGAGACCACCCCAAACAGCAGATGACCCTGTTGGTCTCAAGGACAGACTGCCCCGCCTGACCTCTGCTCCTGCCAGTGATCGTTACCCCAAAAACATGCTGGCAGGTCTCTGCTCCCCGCATCGGTGGCTTTCCCCCTCTCTTACAAATCCTGATCCTTGCAGGAGACAATCTGCAGGCAAACGAACTAAATGTCTCTTTCCTGACACCTCCGTCCTGGGAAGCTGTGAGCAGCCTGCTTTGTCACATAGCATGACAGCTACCACGCTGAAGCAGCAGGAAGCGGGTTCATGGAAGGTGTGCTGAGAACCAGCTACACGTGACCCCCTACTGTCTCTGGGTATCCTCTGGCTTCTGGCCACAAGGCTGCTTTTTTTTTTTTTTTTGATATAGGGTCTTACTCTCTTGCCCAGGCTGGAGTGCAGTGGTGAAATCACAGCTCACTGCAGCCTTGATCTCCTGGACTCAGGCAATCCTCCCACCCAAGCCTCCCAAGTAGCTGGGATGGCAGGCGACACCACCATGCCTGGCTGATTTTTAAAAAATTATTTGTGGAGATAGGGTCTCACTATGTTGCCCAAGCTGGTCTTGAACTCCTGGGCTCCAGTGATCCTCCCACCTCGGTCTCCTGAAGTGCTGGTATTCCACAGGTGTGAGCCACCGCACCCAGCTGCAAGGCTGGTCTTGACTGATGACGTCCAGCAGACAGTAGTCCGGTCACTAGGACAGACGGATCCTGACCCTCACACTGGAGTGGGTCACAAGGGCACCATAGTGCCCCACCCAGGAACGCGTGTCTCTCCCGTACTGCTCAAAAGATACGTATCGGATGCCCTTGCCAAAGTTGGTGAAGACATGGGAGACCTGCAGGGGGAAGGGGAGTGAGAGGGTGAGGGCCTGTGGCCCCTGTCTCTTCCTCCACCTCAACAGAGAGGCAAAGGCCCTGAGATGGGGGCCTGCCTGGAGCTGCTCGAGGGGAGGAGCAGGAGAAGGGGTCAGGGAAGTGATGGGCAGATCATGGCCTTGTGGGCCACAGGAGGACTTTGGCTTTTTCTTTTCTTTTTTTTTTTTTTTCAATTTATAAGTGGAGATAAAACTTTCATAAAACAAAATTCACCATTTTATATATTTATTTATTTTTTGAGACAGAGTCTCGCTCTGTTGCCCAGGCTGGAGTGCAGTGCCATGATCTCGGCTTACTGTAACCTCTGCCTCCGGGTTCAAGAGATTCTCCTGCCTCGCTCTCCCCAGTAGCTGGGATTACAGGCACCTGTTACCATGCTCAGCTGATTTTTGTGTTTTTAGTAGAGACAGGGTTTCACTATGTTGGCCAGGCTGGTCTTGAACTCCTGACCTCAAGTGATCCCTCCACCTTGGCCTCCCAAAGTGCTGGAACTACAGATGTGAGCCACTGCACTCGGCCCAAAATTCACATTTTAAAGGTTACAATTCAGTGGTTTTAAGTTGATTCATGATGTTATGCGGCCATCACCTCTACCTGATTCTAGAGCATTCCCTGTCACCCCAGGAAAAAACCCTGCATCCATGAGCTCATGAGCTATCACTTCCTTTTTCTTTATTTTGAGACAGAGTTTGGCTCTTGTTGCCCAGGCTGGAGTGAAATGGTGCGATCGTGGCTCACTGCAACCTCTGCCTCCCAGGTTCAAGCAATTCTCCTGCCTCAGCCTCCCAAGTAGCTGGGATTACAGGCGTCCACCACCACGCCCAGCTAATTTTTTGTATTTTTAGTAGAGACAAGGTTTTGCCACGTTGGCCAGGCTGGTCTTGAACTCCTGACCTCAGGTGATCCACCCACCTTGGCCTCCCAAAGGAATTACAGGCATGAGCCACTGTGCCCGGCCAAGCTGTCACTTCCAAGTCCTCCCTCCCCCAGCCTCTGGCAGTCACTAATCTTCTTAGTGTATATTTCATATATGTGGAATCATAAAGTATTTGTCATTTCACATCTGGCCTCTTTCACTCAGCTTAATGTTTGCAAAGTTTATTCACATTGCAGCATGAACTGGTGCTTCATTTCTTTTCCTTGGCTGCATAACTTTGGCTTTTACTGTGAGAAATAGCCACAGGAGCATTACAAGAAGGGAGACTTGTGATCTGACTCATTATGATTATTATTATTTTGAGTTGGGGTCCCGGTCTGTTGCCCTGGCTGGAGTGCAGTGGCAAGATCATAGCTCACTGCAGCCTCGACCAACTGGGCTGAAACCATCCTCCCACCTCAGCCTTCTGAGTAGCTGAGACTACAGCTCTAGGCACAAGTCACCATGTCCATCTAATTTTTAATTTCTTTGTAGAGATGGGAGTCTCACTGTATTGCCCAGGCTGGTCCTAAACTCCTGGCCTCAAGTTGTTCTCCCATCTTGGCCTCCCAAAGCGGTGGGAGTACAGATAAGAGCCCCTATGCCCAGCCAAAATATGTACTTTGGTAACTGAAGTATGAGGATCAAGACAGCATTGGCAGCTGGGCGTGGTGGCTCACACCTGTAATCCCAGCACTTTGGGAGGCAGAGGTGGGTGGCTCACCTGAGGTCAGGTATTTGAGACCAGCCTGGCCAACATGGTGAAACCCCATCTGTACTAAAAAAGACAAAAATTAGCTGGGCGTGGTGGTAGACACCTATAATCCCAGCTACTTGGGAGGCTGAGGCTGGAGAATTGTTTGAGCCCGGGATGTGGGGTTGCAGTGAGCCAAGATCACTCCATTGCACTCCAGCCTGGGCGACAGGCCAAGACTGTGTCTCAAAAAAAAAAAAAAAAAAAGTATAGGGGCCAGATTGGGCTTGAATCCAGCTCTGCACTGGGACAATCACGTAACCTCCCCGTGCCTCCGTTTCCTCAGCTCTAGAATGGAGATAGGATTTTGCTTCACCGATGCATTTCCAGCACCTAGAGCAGTGCCCAGCACACAGTAGATACTCAATAAGTATATGTTGAACATTAAACTGTTGTGCTAATGAAATGAATCAATATGTAAACCTCTTGACACAGGGCTTCGGATGTAAGAAGGACTCAGTAACTCTTAGCTGTTATGATTATAGATTTCCGGCAGCGAGAGAGCTGAGAAAGGAAACCGAGCAGGTGAGAGCCCGGGTGTGTGCCTTTAGCGGGTCAGCGGGGAGGTGGAAGGCAGTCTGGACCCACCTGTCGGCAGCCCCTCTCAGTCCACTGAAGGACCGGGTTGGGTGAGGCTGAGAACTTGACCACTTCATTTTCGTACACGTCCAGAAGGCGGACTCGGAGCCGATAGACGCAGCCGCAGTTCTCTCGGGCGCCCCACCTGCCAGGCGGCAGTCAGTCTATGCCCCCGCCACCCAGTCAGCTCTCTGGGTTGCGGTCTGGGAGGCTGAGGGCTGGGCCTTCCTGCATCTTGATGAGAGTCCTGCACATCTGAACCACATTTGGAGACGTCCTAGCCTGGGAACCTCTAGGTTATGAGCCTTAGTGGTCCTGGAGTGGAGCCAGAACTTGGGACAGGAGTTTGGGTGGTCCTTGGGTGGAGCCAGAACCTGGGAGAGGAGCCTGGGTAGTCCAGGGGTGGAGCCAGAACCTGGGGGAGGAGCCTGGGCGGTCCTAGGGTGGAGCCAGAACCTGGGAGAGGAGTTTGGGTGGTTCTGGGGTGGGGCCAGAGCCTGCAGGAGGAGCCTGGATGGTCCTGGGGTGGAGCCAGAGCCTGAAGGAGGAGCCTGGGTGGAGCCAGAACCTGGGGTAGGAGCCTAGGTAGTCCAGAGGTGGAGCCAGAACCTGGGGGGAGGACCTGGGTGGTCCCGGGGTGGAGCCAGAGCCTAGGGGCGGAGCCTGGGTGGCCCTGGAGTTGATTCTGGAGGCTTTGGGGTGGATAGCTGGGGGACAGGAAAGGATGCTCTGGGGAAGAACCCCAATACAGGCAGGCACCTCATGACTTCAGGGAGGAGCCAGCACCCCAGGAAAGAGAACAGATTTTCTGCGGAGGAGCCACAACCTGAAGGAGGGGCTGGAATGCTTTGGGGCAGAACCTGGGTGCTCTGGGAAGAAGGCATTCATCCTAAGCCCGCAGGCTCTGAAGCCAGCCCTGTCCCATCCGTGCTCCCTGAGCCTCAGCTCAAAGGGCACTGTGCTCCCACCCCTTTGGAGGCCCTGGGCATCCAAGAGGGAGCGGGAGGAGGTGTCTTGTTTCAGCGTGGTATCAAGCCAGTCAGTGGCCCCCTGTGGACCACCCCAGCCTGCTGGAAAAAGGATGGGCAGGAGGGCACAGTGGCTTCACCAAGGCTCTACCCTCCCTGGTTCTGCATCACTTTCCCTCTCTCAGCCTCATCACAGAGGGTGTGCCGTGACAGCCACTACCCACGGGGTTGATGAGGCAGGAAATGAGCCTTTGCTGTAGAGCCGCTGCCAAGCCTGCTGCTGCTCCCAGGGCAGGGTGCCGCTCCTCACTCACCAGTCAGCCACACAGATCTCGATCTGGGCGCTGTCCAGCAGCTCCTGCCACACCCCCTCCATCACCAGGTCCACAAGCTGCCTCTTGAAGCACCATCTGGGAAGGAGAGATAGCAGGGGGTGGGGCAAACAGTCCTGGCATTCAAGTCACAGTCAGAAACCACCTCCTCCAAGAAGCCTCCCTTGATAACCCTCTCTAACATGGAGCCCTCAGGGTTTGCTCTAGCAGACTTGAAGATGTATGATGGGCTATACATCTCTCCTTGGCCTCTCGGATCCCCTCTGCCATTCTCCACCCTGCTCTGGGCTCCAGGCAGCTGACCTCTGTGAAAGCCTTCCCCTCACCTTTGTCCCTGCAGCCTCCTCCTCCTCATTTATAGCGAGTACATGTTCTTACGCTAAGGACAGCAAAGAAAGTAGGAATCAGGAAGCATCCCCAGGACTAAGGTTAATCAGAAGAGAACATGGGGCTGGGCACGGTGGCTCCCACCTGTGATCCCAGCAGTTTGGGAGGCCTAGGTGGGTGGATCACTTGAGGTCAAGAGATCGAAACCAGCCAACATAGGAGGATGGTTTGAGCCCAGTTGGTCGAGACTGCAGTGACCTATGATCTTGCTACTGCACTCCAGCCAGGGCAACAGACTGAGACCCTAACTCAATGATAATAATAAGAAGAAAAGAAGAAGTTAGATCCCAAGTCTCCCTGCTTGGAACGCCCCTGTGGCTACATCTCACAGTAAAAGCCAAAGTTATGCAGCCACACACCCAGCCTCTCGCCTGCTCTGTTTCTCTTCTCAGCTCTGTTGCTGCTGCATATCTATAATCATCATAGCCATGCAGGACATGAGTACAAATGAAGGCCACATACTAGACATATGAGCAGGGAGCTCTGCGGCCTCCTAAAGTGTGAGGGCCCGGGTCTAAAGCTGGACGGCCTGGATGGCCTGGTCTCCGTCACCCATTGCTTCCTGCTGGATCAGCCAATGGGATGCCCCAGCAGGGGATAGAAGTGAAGGAGGTGACTAAAATCAGGGTATTTATCCCCGTAGGTCCTTCCCAAGGGACTGCCGTGTCCCCCAGGAAAATGCAAAGCTCCCCAGCACTCCCTCCTCCTGTTTCAGAAACTGTTTCCTCCCCTCACCTCTAGTAGTCTAGCAGCGGTATGTTCCTTCCCTAACTGTTCAGGGGTTCCTCTCCTCAAATTAGAATGTGCCATAATAATAGAAATAGTACAGTATTGGCAGAAGGACCTGTAAGTTGACCAGTGGAATAGAACAGAGTGCCAGAAACTGGCCCAGCACAGTGGCTCAGGCCTGTAATCCCAGCACTTTGAGAGGCCGAGGCAGGCAGATCACCTGAGGTCAGGAGTTCAAGACCAGACTGGCTGATATGGCGAAACCTCTTCTCTACAAAAAATACAAAAATTAGCCAGGTATGGTGGCACACCCCTGTAGTCCCAGCTACTCGGGAGGCTGAGGCAGGAGAATCACTCAAACCCAGGAGTGATTTACTCTGGGTAAATCACTCTAAACATAAGTCTACATCTAAAACATAAGTGAAAACACCCTGCAGTGAGTCAAGATCGCACCACTGTACTCCAGCCTGGGCCACAAAATGAGACTCTGTCTCAAAAACAACAAACATGAAACAAAACAGAGTGCCAGGGACAGAGCTTGGTACGCATAGGAACTTCATAAACCGTAGAGCTGGCACCATCATTCCATGGGGGACAGAGCTCGGTACGCATAGGAACTTCATACACCGTAGAGATGGCACCATCATTCCATGGGGGACAGAGCTCGGTACGCATAGGAACTTCATACACCGTAGAGATGGCACCATCATTCCATGGGGGACAGAGCTCGGTACGCATAGGAACTTCATACACCGTAGAGATGGCACCATCATTCCATGGGGGACAGAGCTCGGTACGCATAGGAACTTCATACACCGTAGAGATGGCACCATCATTCCATGGGGGACAGAGCTCGGTACGCATAGGAACTTCATACACCGTAGAGCTGGCACCATCATTCCATGGGGGACAGAGCTCGGTACGCATAGGAACTTCATACACCGTAGAGATGGCACCATCATTCCATGGGGGACAGAGCTCGGTACGCATAGGAACTTCATACACCGTAGAGATGGCACCATCATTCCATGGGGGACAGGGCTCGGTACGAATAGGAACTTCATACACCGTAGAGATGGCACCATCATTCCATGGGGGACAGAGCTCGGTACGCATAGGAACTTCATACACCGTAGAGATGGCACCATCATTCCATGGGGGACAGAGCTCGGTACGCATAGGAACTTCATACACCGTAGAGCTGGCACCATCATTCCATGGAGAACGTAGATTGTCCTCGTTTTTTTTTCTTTTGAGTCAAGGTCTTATTCTATCGCCAGGCTGGAGTGCAGTGGCATGACCCTAGCTCACTGCAACCTCGAATTCCTGGGTTCAAGAGATTCTCCCACCTCTGCCTCTCAAAGTGCTGGGATTACAGGTGTGAGCCACCATGCCTGGCCTTCAGTTTCCCATTATAAAGTGGGAGCAATACTAGTATCTACGTCACAGGGTTGTTGCCAGGGTTCTAAATAAAGTGTCTAGAGCAATCCCTTGTGGAGGCAAAAGTGACTCCATCTTGGATGCTAATCTGCCATGTTCACTTTTTTTTTGGAACAGTTTCTGTCACACTGGCTGGAGTGCAGTGGCGTGATCTTGGCTCACTGCAGCATTTGCCTCCTGGGTTCAAGTGATTCTTCAGCCTCAGCCTCCCAAGTAGCTGGAATTATAGGTGCAAGCCACCAGGCCTGGCTAATTTTTGTCTTTTTAGTAGAGATGGGGTCTTGACATATTGGCCAGGCTGGTCTCAAACTCCTGAGCTCAAGTGATCCACCGTGCCCAGCCCTATGTTCTCTTCTGATTAACCTCAATCCTGGGGATGCTTCCTGATTCCTACTTTATTCACTGTCCTTAGCATAAGAACATGTACTTGCTATAAATCCAGGCTTTAGAGCGAAGCAAGCTGATGTTCCCTCACCGTAGTCTGTGACGCACGTAGCATTCTGGCCTGTTTTAGAGGGCTGCCTTTGTTTTTTGTTTTGTTTTTGGATGTAGGGTCTCCCTCTGTTACCCAGGCTGGAGTGCAGTGGAGCAATCGCAACTCACCATAGCCTCAACCTCCTGGCCTCAAGTGAACCTCCTGCCTCAGCCTCTGAAGTAGCTGGGATTACAGGCGCCCACCACCATGCCTGGCTAATTTTTGTATTTTTAGTAGAGATGGGGTTTCCCTCTGTTGGCAAGGCTGGTCTTGAACTCCTGATGTAAAGTGATCTGCCCACCTTGGCCTCCCAAAGTGCTGGGATTACCACCACTGTGCCCAGCCTCAAACCCTGTCTTTAGATCAAAGCAATCTTGCTGTTGTCTCACAAACTGCAGGCGATGAAGCACACAGCATTGTTGCCTGTGGTTGCCAACCCTCCTGATTTTTCCTTGTATCTCTGGCATATAAAACAGTATCCTCAGGCCGGGTGCGGTGGCTCACGCCTGTAATCCCAGCACTTTGGGAGGCTGAGGCGGGTGGATCATGAGGTCAAGAGATCGAGATCATCCTGGTCAACATGGTGAAACCCCGTCTCTACTAAAAATACAAAAAATTAGCTGGGCATGGTGGCACGTGCCTGTAATCCCAGCTACTCAGGAGGCTGAGGCAGGAGAATTGCCTGAACCCTGGAGGTGGAGGTTGCGGCGAGCTGAGATCACACAGTGTAACAAGAGTGAAATTCCATCTCAAAAAACAAAAAAAAAGTACCCTCAACAAATACTTGTTGATTGATGGAATGAATCAATGAATAAACGAATGGGGGAGGGACAGAGGGCGAAGGTGAGGATGAGGACAGTGGCGGGGGTAGGGTCCTTTTCTCTCTTTGGGGCCCTTACCCCAGGGATCAGGGCCACTCACTTGGGCCACTCACTCGAAAGAGGTCACGAAGCAGGTCTGCGAAGGAGCCCCAGGCACCAGTGTGAGGTTCTTTTCTATGGCCCAGCCGTTCCCGCCGTGCTCCACCTCCCAGCCTTTGAAGCCCTCTGTGGAAAAACAAGAGTTGAACAGAAGATTTGTCTGCCAGCCTGCCCAGCAGAGACCCTGCAACCACCCAGCTTGTGCTGTCCACCAGTCTCTCCCTCTCGTGCTCCAGTCCTCCCTGGCTTCTCCTACCGACTCCTCCTCCCATTAACCTGTATTCCTGGTCCTACCCCACACCTGCGACTCAGCTTCTCCTCAGCTTCCCTTACTTGCTCTTTCTCCTTCAGTCCTGCTCTTCATTGTGTGTGTGTGAAAGAAAAGAGAGAGAGAGAGAGAGAGAGAGTGACAGGGTCTCACTCTGTCACCCTGGCTGGAATGCAGTGGCTCCATCATAGCTCACTGCAGCCTCAAACTCCTGGGCTCAAGCGATCCTCCCATATCAGCCTCCGAAGTGGCTAGGACCACAGGTGCATGCCACCATACCTGGCTAATTTTTTAGTTTTTTTTTTTGTTGTTGAGACGAAGTTTCGCTCTTGTTGCCCAGGCTGGAGTGCAATGGCATGGGTTCAAGCAATTCTCCTGCCTCAGCCTCCTGAGTAGCTGGAATTACAGGTTTGCACCACCATGCTCGGCTAATTTTGTATTTTTAGTAGAGATGGGGTTTCACCATGTTGGTCAGCCTGGTCTCAAATTCCTGACCTCAGGGGATCCACGGGCCTCAGCCTCCCAAAGTGCTGGGATTACAGGCGTCAGCCACCGCATCTAGCCTAATTTTTAAATTTTTTAGAAACAGAGTTTCACTTTGTTGCCCAGGCTGGTCTCGAACTCCTGGCCTCAAGCAATCCTCCCACCATAGCCTCCCAAAATGCTGGGATTCCAGGCATGAGCTACCGCGTCCCCTCCCCCTTTTTTTGTTTTTGTTTTGACAGAGTCTCGTTCTATCACCCAGGCTGGGGTGAGTGGTGCAATCTTGGCTCCCTGCCATATCTTCCTACTGGGTTCAAATAATTCTCCTAACTCAGCCTCTGGAGTAGCTGTGATTACAGGCACACACCACCACGCCCGGTTTTTTGTATTTTTAGTAGAGACGGGGTGGGGGGAGGGGGCGTCTCACCATGCTGGCCAGGCTGAGCTCGAACTCCTTAACCTCGTGATCCACTTGCCTCGGTCTCGTAAAGTGTTGGGATTACAGGCGTGAGCCTCCGCGACGGCCTTTTTTTTTTTTTTTTGAGACAAAGGACTTTCTCTGTCACCCAGGCTGTAGTGTAATGGCACTATCACCGCTCACTGTAGCCTCGAACTCCTGGTCTTAAGCGATCCTCCTGCCTTGGCCTCTCAAAGTGTTGCCATTCCCACCGCGGCTGGCTTCAATCCTATTCTGCATTCCCTCTGCATATCAAACTACTCGCTTTCTCCCCTGGCCCAACCAGGGTCTTCCTGCCTTGCCACGCCTACTCGTTCGGATTCCAGATTCCAGGTTCCGGCGTACGCTGCTCTCCCCAGCTTCCACGTTCTCTAGCCCCGCCCACTGGTCCTACCGCCCCAGCACTGCACTGCGTCCCTCGGCCCCGCCCCCTGGCTTCTCCAGCGGTCCCGCTCATTGGCTACATCCCCTCTAAGACTCTGTCCAGGCCCCGCCCCTGGCGCGCTCATCCCGGCCCCGCTCACCCACTCAGCGTCCTGGGCCCCGCCCCCCACACTCACGCTCTCCGCAGGAGTTGAAGATGAGGTTGCGACCGAAGGGCGCGCGCAGACAGTAGCGCGCCAGGGCGCACAGCGGAAACTCCTCCTCGTCCTCGTTGCTGGGTAGGCAGCGCTGGACCACTGCATAGAGTGCGCGGCCCTCGGCGCTGCGGTCGCGGGCCAGCTGCAGCAGCCACACGGTGGGCCCGTCCACCACGTCGCGCCAGGCGCGGCACACTGGGCGGCATTGCATGACCAAGGCGCGTGGCGGCACGTGGCTCAGCACCTGCACCAGCAGCTCCGGGGGCAGCGCGTCCAAGGCCAGGGGTGGGTCCGCTGGCAGCCGTGGCTGTCGCCGCGAGGGCCGGGCGCCCATCTCCCGCAGTTGGCGTCCTGCAGGTCGAGAAGGGTCGGTAGGCGGGTCAGCGCAGCCAGGCCACCCCCTCCCTACCTTCCCTCCCAGGGCGCAAGGCCCCTTCAGCTGGTGAGACCCCATTAGGTCCATGGGCAACCAGGGACCCAGTTCCCTCTCTGATAATGGGTCTCTCCCCATCTTTCCCGCTTAGGCAAAAGACCCTTGGCCTGACTCTGACCCCATCAGGATCGCTGATCATGGCTTCCGTCTGGCGTGCACTTGTGTCAGGCTAAGTGCTTTATGTATGTGACCATAGCAAACTGAAGACCTGTAACAGTGAAACGGCAAAAGAACTAGCAGAACTAACCCCATTTTTGTTTAAGGGGACTTTACTCATTCCTGCACGTAGGCTAAGATAATTTTAGAGCGCTTAGATAATATGCAAAACCAGCAGTCATGTAGTTTTTAAAACTAACTCTGGGATTAAAGAAGTATGTAAACTATGTTTTGTCAAAGATTTATAGCAGCACTGTGACCACTGCAGACATCTAGGTGCCTGCTAGGGTCCGAGGAGATTGGTGACTTCTTTGTCACCTTGGACCTCGGATCCTAGCTGGCACGCAGATGTCTTCAGTGGTCATCTTATTTTTATTCTGTTTTTATGAAGCTAGAAACCAGGACTATAGTCTCTACCTCCTGGGCTCAAGTGATCCTTCTGCCTCAGCCTACCAAGTAGCTGGGACTCTAGGTGCATGTCACCATGCCAGCTAGTTTTTAAATTTTATTTATTTTTTTTAGAGATGGGGGTCTCACTACATTGCCCTGGCCGGTCTTGTAATCGTGGGCTCAAGTGATCCTCCTCCCTCAGCCTCCCAAAGTGCTGGGATTGGTGTGAGCCACTGCACCTGGCTTGTTGGTCACCTCTTAATCACAATGCTCTTCTCTTCCCTCTGCCCTTAATATAAAAAAATAAAAATTTGATCTAAGATGGTACTTTAGGATGATAGTCCACTGTGTTCTCTGTTTGCTGGCTCTCCAAATAAACTTGCTTTTCCTCCCACTAACTCTCATATCTCTTGAGCTTGGCTTTCTTCTCTGTTTTTTTCTTTTTTGAAATTGAGTCTTGCTCTGTTGCCCAGGCTGGAATGCAGTGGCACAATCTTGGCTCACTGTGACCTCCACCTCCTGGGTTCAAGTGATTCTCCTGCCTCAGCCTCCCAAGTAGCTGGAAATACAGGTGTGTGCCACCACACTCAGCCAGTAATTTTTGTAGTAGAGATGGCATTTCACCATGTTGGCCAGGCTGGTCTTGAACTCCCGACCTCAAGTGATCCGCCTGTCTCGGCCTCCCAAAGTGCTGGGATTTCAGGTGCGAGCCACCACGCCTAGCCTCAGTTTGGCTTTCGAGTGATGAGTGGCCAAACCTGGGTTGGGTTACAGACCCACAGGGAAACGCACTGTGGAAGAAAACCATTTCCACCCCATCCCCCAATCTGTTCCAACTCCTTCCGCCTTTGGAACCCATGACCTATTTTTAGCAAAATCTCTTCTTGCCTCAGTTACTTCTCTGAATATTCCTACAACCTTCTTGCTGTAACTGGAATCCAGCTCTCCTGTGGAACTTCCAAGTGGGAGGTCTCGGTGCTCCTGGGAGCTGCTTCCTGACTGTCTCCCTCCACATTCCCCCAAACCCCCAGTGCTGAATCTCAGCTCTACTCTGCCTCGGGCATTATCTGCTGACCCAGATCATGACTCCTCTCTTCTCCCTAATTTTAGCTCTGGGCTCGTGGCCGCTCCTGCTGCTCTTAGCATCATTCTCAGTGATTTCCATAACCAGATAGATTGTTCTTCTGCAGCCCCAACCTCCCTGTTCCCTGGCCTCCCTCTAGTGACTTTATCCCTTCCCCAACCCCTCCCACTCAGGGTCAGGCCCAGACCTTGTCCCAATAACATCAACCTCTTCAGAACCTCAGTTTCACACATTCACTCTCTATCCATCACTTCCTCTTTCCACCTCATTCCCTCCAGTGCCTGACTCCGATGATCTTTCCAATGCACTATGATCTCCCATCCCTTGTCCATTTCATTTTTCACTGTCTCTCACCTCCCATGCCCTCATTTCTTCCTTAGCCAGCTTCAATTCCATGGTTAATCATTAAAAATTCTTGACCTGGCATGCTGGCTCATGCCTGTAATCTCAGCACTTTGGGAGGGCAAGGTGGGAGAACTGCTTGAGGCCAGTAATTTGAGATCAGCCTGGGAAACATAACGAGACTCCATCTGTACAAAAAATAGAATAAAAAAATTAGCCAGGTGTGGTGGTGCACACCAGTAGTCCCAGATACTCCAGAGGTTAAGGTGGGACAATCGCTTGAGCCCAGGAGTTGGAGGCTGCAGTGAGCTATGATTGTGCCACTGCACTCTAGCCTGGGCAACAAAATGAGACCCTGTCTCGAAAATAAAAAGAGTAGCAAAACAAAACAAAACAAAACAAAAAAACGTGGGGCTGTAGCTAGAAGGGGATGTGAGGTCAAGAAGGTTTGGGTCGTGTGCAGTGGCTCGCGCCTGTAATCCCAGCATGTTGGGAGGCCGAGGTAGGTGGATCACTTGAGATCAGGAGTTCGAGACCAGCCTGGCTACCATGGTGAAACCCCGTCTCTACCAAAAAATACAAAAATTAGCGGGGCATGGTGATACACACCTGTAATCCCAGCTACTTGGGAAGGTTGAGGCAGGAGAATTGCTTGAACCCGGAAGGCTGTGATCGCGCCACTGCACTCCAGCCTGGGTAGCAGAGTGAGACCCTGTCTCAAAATAAAAAACAACAAAAAAGAGGTTTGTTTTGAGATGGGAGACAGGACGCTGTGTGGGGCAACAGGAGATCCAGTGCATTAGGGGAAACTAAAGGAGCAGCAGGGAGAGGTGAGAGCCAGGAAACAGAGCTGGAAGTGGGTGGGAAGGTGGGAGCAGGTGATGGGACAGTTACAGTGGGAAAACGGGTGTGGACACGGGTGTAGGTAGGTGGTAGAGGTGGGGGCGGCTGTGGAAGTTCGCTTCTCATCTCTTGCATTTTCTCTGCAAAATAAGAAGCCAAGAGAGTGAAAGGGGAGGAGGAGGTGTTGGAAAGGATTAGGGAGAAGTGAAAAGGTGTGAATTAAATGTCTAGAAGAGAGGAGGAAGGAGGGGATCAGAGAAATGTCATAGGGTTGCTAGGCAGCATTGGGGTCTGTCTGAGGGTCAAGTTCACAGACTTGATGTTAGCCTGGCCAGGGCGCTGTGTTGTTGCTTAGCTCCCTCGGGCTGTGTGGGTGCAGACACAGGAGAGGAAGGCTGGATTTAACCGGGGTCTCATGCAGGAGGAAGTCAAAGGGGGCAAGGGTGTGAGGTGAGAATGTGATTTTATTTATTTATTTATTTATTTGAGACGCAGTCTTACTCCGTCACCCAGGCTGAAGTGCAATGGCTCAATCTCGGCTCACTACAACCTGTCTCCCAGGTTCAAGTGATTCTCCTGCCTCAGCCCCTCAAGTAGCTGGGATTACAGGTGCCCACCACCACGCCTGGCTAATTTTTATATTTTTAATAGAGACGGGGTTTCACCATGTTGGCCAGGTTGGTCTCGAACTCCCGACCTCAGGTAATCCTCCTGTCTCAGCCTCCCAAAATGCTGAGATTATAGGCATGAGCCACCACATTGGACTGAGAATGTGTTATTTTTATCTTTGAAACAGGCTCTTGCCCCTTTGCTCAGGTAGGACTGCAGTGGTGTGATCACAGTTCACTGCAGCCTCGACCTCCCAGGCTCAAGCGATCCTCCCACCTCAGCATCCCAAAATGCTGGGATTAGAGGCATGATCCACGGCATCCAGTGTCTTTCTCTTTATGGTAAAACTTCTTGAAAAAGTTGTCTACCCGGTATTTTCTGCTCTCATTCTTCCTAAAACCTTTTCTTTCTTTCTTTTTTTTTTTTGAGACAGAGTCTTCCTCTATCACCCAGACTGCAGTGCAGTGGCACAATCTCAGCTCACTGCAACCTCTGCCTCCGGGGTTCAGGTGATTCTCGTGCCTCAGCCTCCCGAGTAGCGGGGACTATAGGTGTGTGCCACCCTGCCTGGCTAACTTTTGTATTTTTAGTAGAGATGGGGTTTCACCATGTTGCCCAGGCTAGTCTTGAACTCTTGAGCTCAAAGGATCCTGCTGCCTTGGCCTCCCAAAGTGCTGGGATTATAGGTGTGAGCCACTGTGCCTGGCTCCAGCTCCACTTCTTGCTATAAATTATATGACCAATGGCTAGTCACTTTAATCTCTCTATGCCTCGGTTTCCCTTTCCGAAAATGGGGCTGTTAATGGTGCCTCCTTCATAGGGCCATCGTGAAGATGAAATGAGTATTTTAAAGCACTTAGGAAAAGCCCCTGCAGGCTCCTAAGTAATAGTATTTTATATTAGCCCAGGAGCGGTGGCTCATAGTTGTAATATCGGCACTTTCGGAGGCTGAGGCAGGCGGATCAATTGTGGTCAGGAGTTCAAGACCAGCCAGGCCAACATGGTGAAACCCCATCTCTACAAAAAATACAAAAATTAGCGAGGCATGGTGGTGGGCGCCTGTAACCTCAGCTACTCAGGAGGCTGAGGCAGGAGAATCACTTGAACCTGGGAGGTGGAGGTTGCAGTGAGCCGAGATCACACCTCTACACTCCAGCCTGGACTCCGTCTCAAAAAAATAAAAATGATGTCAGGATTTTTTGCTATATTCATGGACTACTTGCCTGACACAGGCTTCTTTCTTTCTTTTTTTTTTTTAAATAAAACCTTAATTTGTTTAAAAAGGACAATAGCTGACATGAATTGAGCACTTACTGGACACATGCAGATAACAAGTATTAGATCATTAAAGCCTCTTAACCACCGGCACCCTCAAAGGGGAGTTTTGCCTATTAAACAAGATGATGGGATTCGCAGCTGATCCAGCTTAAATGCTCAGCCCAGTGACTTAATAAGGGCCAGTAAATGCCGTGAAATGAAAATGTCACAACTGTC